AAGGATCCCAGATATGCCAAGAAATTTGAATTTTGGGAGGATTCCAAAAATGCACAGGACCGTGGTGAGGTTCCGTGGGTGTACCGGAGTATAATGAAGGCTTGTGTTGATATTGCTCTGATCTGTTTCCCTCTCGACATAATGGAACAAGACTTGGATTTACGGGACCCGCTGGAGATGAGGATAGGTGATATGATAGCAGGCATGGAGATCGTTGATGGGCGGTGCAAATCACGAAAGAACCCCTCGGTATTTCTGGTTGGGTGTCGAAGTGAGTTGCTGGGGCCTAATACTGCGGATCCATCTCGAAGGAAGAACGCCCTGTGGCATCAGTATATTACGCAGCTTATGACTGAAAGCGTACATGGGTACTTTGAATGTTCGGCAGCCACAGGTGCTGGTGTGGGTGAGTTGTTGGACGCAATGGTGCATGCCACGCTGCATCCACCCAAGAGAAGACTCGAACTGCCCAGAGATCGGTCTATTACTGGGGGGTTGCACAAGACACTGTATTATTTTGTGATGAATTGTCATATCTCATGGGCCGGGGGGTAAATCTAATCGGAAATGATTGCTAAACAGCTCGTCCTCCGTGCAAACCGGGTACAACAGGTCTGCCAGTTGCCTGATACCGTCGATTGCGATCTGGGTGATGTCGAATTCCTGGAAGGAACTCATCCAGTGCTTAATCTGGCCGTCGCAGAGACAAGAGGATATATGATTCCTGTATCATTGAACTTCATGCCCAACAACAGCATACCCATGGTTCATTCCCGTGCCAACACCTTCTGTGTCCAGCTCACCCCCTATGAGGGACAGATGAGGCCTCGAGTGGTTCAAAAGGACTGAACTTGGTGGCATTTCCTTCCCATTGTCTCGCCAAAGCCCTAGATTTGTATACGCTGCCTTGTGCAGCGCCAATGTCTCCTCTACTGCCCACTGGTCCCGTTTGTAAACGGTCTTTCCACGTCGCAGCCAGCCTACGACAGTATCCACTGTCAGGCCAATAATCACAATAAGGCCGCACACGATGAGTGTGAGAGCCAGCCCAAGAATCGAAAAGTTTTCATATCCCGAGGCATTGTTCAAGAGTTGGTTCCGGCATGCAGAACGCGCAACCGCATTACTAGGGACAGACACATTCCACCCATAGCCAAGCGTGTTGGGAGGGAGATTTTTCGGTGCAGTGGCCCATTCGAAGGCCCAAGCTTGCTCTTTAGCCAACGAGGTGGCAAACCACGTTGACACCTCAATTTGCCATTGGTTCGGCGGAAGATATGAATTGAGATTCATGTAGGCCATCATTGACGCTGAGACGAGAAGAGGGTTTATTTAGCTCGGGAAGGCATGAAGTAGAGCCATCATGGTTTGCTTACCGTTCAAAGCAGCGCCTCCTCGCCCATTCACATTGGAATACATACTCCGGTCAGTGTTTGCAGAGAGAAACCGTGAGACGGTTGTAAGCTGGGCCATATTGAACCCCAGAGTTGAACTTTCACCATCAAGCTTAAAAGCAGACAGGAATGTACTCATCTGGCCACCAAGCTCGGTGCAGCCGGAATCACCAGATCTGCTTGGGTTGCATACCTGATACTGGTCCACGCACACCAGGAGGTTCGCCTGATAGCTCTTCGACCACACTGTCTTATTGAATGTCGTGTTTTCCATGCTGAGGTTAGTCTCAACCTCGGCTGTGATCCAAGGATCATGGCTGGGTTGCAGGTACATGACACCGTTCTGATTCAGCATCATCATAGTGATGTCGGCGTCGGTTTGATTGATCCTTGGATCTGGGGCCCATGATCGAGTCGTCAGCAAGAAGCCCGTGGGATCGGCTTTGGCAAAGATTGCGCTGGTTCATTAGAATGTACGTTCTCTTGGGCCATCCTGTTGGACGACTCACCTTAGGCTGTAGCCTATCCCATCCAGCTGCGGGCTCGGGGTGTATTCGAAGGTGTAGTTTAAATATGGTTGGCCCATATAGTATTCTGCTCCAGCATTGACATAGATTATTGTACCGTATGTCGAGTCGTTCCGGGTCGTCCCTAGGCCGGATCCATGTTTGACTGGGGCGCAAGTCGCCACCCGCCTGAATTTAATCCGGTCTTTCGGCCGCGCGTTGACCCCAAAGTCTGTCTGCGAATCTAGAAGGCCGGTGTCCATTTGGAATGCCGACTGCCCGTTGTAGGCGCATAGCTCGGACGCAAAGGGGCAGGACGCGTTTTGATCCGTGGTAAATGGTATGCTTGGACGGGCGTATGTCCCGCACAGGAGTCCCGATGGGCTCCCCTGATAACATTGACGGACATAGGTCGCGGCTTCGTAGGTATCCTGCAAGGTTTTGAAGTTCATGACGGAATCTGAGGTGTTGAATGTAAACCCTCCACAAGCTGGCCCGATGATGATCGTAGAGTTGCCAGCCGCCTTGGTGATGTAACTTGTAAACAGACCAGACACACTGAACAGAAGGATGTTGAGAATGGCTAATATCGCGAACGGTAGGGACCGTCCAATGGCCTTGACCCGCCATGCTGTTCCCCCATTCTCAAATGGCAGCTTGATCAAAGCCCAAGCTGCACCGGCCGCAGTCTTGTTGCGGAGAATGAGCTGGCGCTGGGAGTGCAGTGCATCCTGCCCTTGGGCTGGTTCCGTGGTATAGGCTTGATGAAGGGCAAAGCTTAGAATAATCCAAAACATGGACCCAGTAAAGGAAACGAGCATGGCCAGAAAAGCACTCAGGACTCCTGCATGCTTCTGTGACAACGTCAATGTGGCTCCACGGATTGGACCTTCGGACCAGTTGATCCAAGGCCCAGTGTAGGTGTGGATGCCGTCAGACATGGCTTTCGACAATGATCTGATCCTGCTTAGCGAATTGATTCGGAAGGCTCGGACTCCCTGAGGAGGGACTTGACTTTTGAGCCCGTCTTATACTAACAGCTCGCAAAGTCAATTAATGCGTCCAGTATCCAGCATTCATATTACTCTGTGTAGTGGCTACTTTTGGAGCCAGCAGCTGAACTCCGATTAAAACGCCATTAGGCACCTAGTAACACCTGAGCTTTGAACTCGATTGCTTGAATCCGCGTCTTTCGCTTCAGCTGCCCGATTCCAGCCTAGCAAGCTGGGATTGGTAAGGGAGAGCGATAGGGCAGCGGTGGAGGCGTTAGTATCTCTTTCCTCATTGGATGCCTTATGATAGTCTTCAGACCCTTCTCGTATCGGTGAGACGCAAAGCGAGGCTGATACAGTGGACGAGTCTACTTTGATACCTCCAACGCGTCGGAATAGTGTCCACTGACCCTAGTGAAATATTCGGCACCAAACCCCCGACTCTCTCGGCTAGCTGTATATTCAAGTCCCTTGGATGAGTATGATCTTATGACGGAATTTGCTTTAAGTCTCGTATAAACGAAACGGCGACTGTAGATACGCGAAAGGATCCGTAAAATTGAAGTACTCCGTACGACACATGCTACTCCGGAGTTTGCATGCTGAGGGTAAAATACGTTGCCTTCGGATAATGATACGATCGATGATGATGGAAGTCCCATGGTGAGGCCTAGACTCATCCAAGGCGAGTCTACCGAATGTGGCTGCAGAAAGGTTAGAAAAAGCAAGTAGAAGCCGCAATGGACTTTACCGTAACCTTGCTTGGCAATGTGCACGAGCTGTACATGATGAGAAGAGCAAAAAGCTTGATACTATTCGTCACGGTTCATCTGACCCGTTCTAGCATGAGGCTGACAACGGTCAGAGCGACCTTCTCTACTGTCTGAGGTTCACATCACGCGCTACTATCCTGACCGCAGTCTATTTTGGCATTTTGACGCGAGTGGAACTGAGGACCCAGCAGTCCTTCACAGTACTTCTGGGCTTATAAAAGCCACTATGCATCACCATACAGTAAGTCTTATTTATTTATTTATTTATTTATTTTATTTTTTATTTTTTTTTTTGCCCCTCTTTTCACCATCTCTTTTGGATTCCTAGAGCATCAGGCTGCCTTTTAATATGTTTAGACTATGTCCAGTTTCCCAGAACACTTAGAGAGGTCAAGTCATGAGCGCTAGTTCTTTTCTTCAGAGCAAACATCGGTCGGTTTGGTTCTCAATGTCTTCCATATATTAAGCTTTGGTCGGGGTCCCATGCTGTTGTTATCATGTATCAATTTGTAAGGGAGGGAAGCTCGGATGTTGTCTGTTATATGACATTCTATCTGTCAATGTCACAAATGCCTCACATGTATCCTCATAACCTAGAATAAGGTGCGGTAAACATAATGTAGAACCAGCAGGATGGAGATTCCAGTTCACTATTCACGTTCTGACGTCTGGTTTGGATTGACGTTGAAGGGAAGTGCTTTATATATTAGAGCGCGGCGTTCAAAGTTGATAAAGCCCATCCCAGATGAGTGCTGCACTAGAATGCGTCTTGATTTTGTGATCCGTGCACGTCTATGGATTGCCTATAGTAGAAGCTTTTATCTCTGGGACGACTAGAACATGCAGTGGACTTGAGAAGTGGCATCTGGCGCCAGGTAAGGGAGGTGAATCCCTGTGCGTACGACAGGCGATTTGCGTTTCATCTGCCAGTTTACATTGCGCCCAAGGTGCTCAGTAGTCTGTTTGAAATGTCATAATAATTATCGGGTTGAGGAATTGCAGTCGATGCGGAAAAAATGAGCAGATAATGCCTGTGTCTCTCCAGGCTGAGTTAGAGAGGTAAAGGAACAATGTGCTATCTCAAGACATCTTAAGATAGGCAAGACTCTCAGGCTCAAAACAGTTTTCATTCCAATGTGATATGGTAAATAGCCTCCTTGTAAACACTGGTCGAGCATGAATATGGATCCACTAAGAGTAAAAGCTCGGTATACCCGACGAGATCTTAAATACGCCCCTGGTAATGTTTACACTAAAACCTTGTCTCTTATTAATGCTAATACAAGCTAGAAACCGACTCAACAACGGTTACGTCGTTCTTCACATGACAAGCGTCTAGCATACAGTGCAAGGCTTGTTCTGTAGCGCCTCGGCAGCAGCATAGAAGGCCGGCTTCGCCTCGAGCGTTTCATTGTATAGACAGGCGCCACCCTGTCCCGTAAAAACACCGGGAATCCATGAGTAGGCATCATCAAAGTCCCAGACCACAACGCCGACACAGCGAGGTCCAGCTTGCTTGCAACTGGCGACACTAGCATAGTAGTCCGCGGCCTGCTGCTTTTGGGCCTCGGCGGTGTAGAATGGGGCCTGAGAGAAACGGACGTCTAGTTCGGTGATGGCGACCTCAAGGCCGGCCTCGATGTAGGCCTTCTTGGTGGTGAGCTGGTCGGCCAGCGAAGGAGTCTCGCCGACGATGAAATGGGACTCGAGACCGACTCCGTCAATGCGAATGCCGCGCTTGCGTAACTCGGCCACTAACTTCAGAACAGCATCCGCCTTGGGACCGGGGTTCTCAATGCCATAGTCGTTATAATAAAGCTTGACTTGGTTGGCGTGAATCTGAGCGAGGGCTTCCTCGGCGTACTGGAAAGCAAGGTAGAAGTATTCCTCTCCAATTGTGTTGTACCACACACTGGAGGAGAAGGTACCATCCCCATTGATAGCTTCATTGACGACGTCCCACGAGTAGCAGCGCTTGCCAAAGTGCTGGACAGTCTTGACGATGTGGTTCTTCATTACTGCTTTGAGCTCCGTGGCAGTCCAATTCCTGGAGGTGACCCAGTCGGACACTTGGCTAGCCCAGACGAGGTTATGGCAGCGGACGCTGTGGCCATAACGATCGGCCAAGTCCATGAAGTAGTCGCCCTGGGTGAAGTTGAAGACATTCTGCCCGGGCTCGGTGTACATGAACTACGTGGACAGAATCCTCGTGTCAGCGCCAACACCGAATAAAAGAGTATCATCCGCTTGCTTACCTTCAATGCATTTGCGGGAGTCATTTCGCCGAACTGCTCTTGTAGGACTTTCAGATAAGGTTTGTCGGTTGTCTCAGATGTCCCAGGAATATCGGCTGCAGTGCCGAACCAAAGCATGCCATTACGCCGAGCAATCTTATGGAGGTTGACGTTGTTCTTGTTGCTCGAAGGCGCTCCCGTGGCCAGGCCAGCGAGGAAAGTGGTAGCGGCAAGGGAGAAACGCATCGTGAGTCGCAAAACGAGGATTCTTTGTTTGAATTTGGTAACAAAGTCACCAGAATGGACAGTCCGAGGCTGCACAGCGCTTTATATACGCTTTCGAAAGGAAAGGGGAGTGAAGCCATCGCGTCCTGCATTTGACCCGGCTGGAATGGAATTCCCGGCTCTAGATTGGGCTATTCCTCCCCGCAGGAACAACCGAGATGACCTTGTCTGGATGGAGGCAATTTCTCTGGGGTAGCTTGGGGAAATTTAGGCTATTATGCCTCGTATAGCCAATGACACCCGAGTGTACATCGCGTCCAGGCCAGCTCATGAGGAGAGGTTCGACAGAGCCGATTGTCCGAGGATTTCTTCGCTTTTGATAGTCAAACATTTTGCCGGCGTCACTTATCAATGATATATCTCTTTTCTGTAGTCATCTCAGAAATCCCTGTGTTGGCAAACGGGAATTCAGCCGGATGATTCATGCTAAATATATAGCAGCCGTGTGTTATTTGTGGGGTAGGAGATCAGAATACAAAGGTCGCAATGGAGAAACCCCATCAGCATGTGGATAAAGAGAAGACGATGGAAACCACATTGTATTCCCAGATCTAAAGTTGTGGACCATCAGCATCTGTTACCCCTAAACCTGCGATGTTTGTTGTTCTTCCAAAACGGGCCTCGACACCTCAGGCACCGTGTCCCACGTGTGGCTAGGGCGGTCAGGAACTCTACCAATGAAAGTGAATATGTCACATGCCTAGTCGCTTCTCTGGCGGCCGTCGTGCTTCCCCACACCCTCTTTGCTCCCTTGATCCCCTGCTAAACACCCTTCCTCAACTCCAGAGATACACTTCGACCTTGCTGTCAGAATCCATTGCCTCCTATCCAATAGCAATATCCCGCAATCATCAGAATGCCTGCTACGGACGCTCTCCGTACGTGGATTTTGCCCCGATTGACGTACTGAATGTTTGCTAAACTGTCGATTAACCGACTTAGAACCCCCACTTACCCCAGCCGAGCGGGCCATCGTCAAAAGCTACGGTGGCTGGACCCAATTCATGATCAGTTTCGGATTGAAGCCGTACGAGCTTGACGATATTGATGAAGCAAAGTCTATTGTTTCGTCCCTTGCTGCCGAGGATTAAGGAGTCGATGCAAACGCCTTTCCTCTTTTCAAGGACTTCAGAACGGCTGACGGAACATTGCATCCTTGCCGCAATACAATCGTTGATGGTGGGGAAGACCAATAATTCCAATCCATGAGGCCCAAATGCCAGTTGCTTCGTTGTCTTGGCTTAGATAAGCCTTAGATGCCCTGTGGAATTGCTACCAACATGTGCAAAAAGAAATCAAAAGGAAATTAATGCTAATATCGGAATCTCCAACGGCTGTTGTCCTTGCTGGACCTTAGAATCTTCACTAGGATCCAATGAGCAATATGGCTTTTGTATCGTTTAACTCAAAAGTCATGCTTCCTCAATACTCAGCCGAATCAACCAACTCCCCTTGATCAGACAAGTTCATCAACAACGAATATGACCGGCCATTCGAGAATCCTCTCCAGTTAATTCCTCTGGCGCCGCCGACGGGACCAGCAGCGTCTGTGAGCTTTTCACCTTGATGTGCTGGCTGACCCACCCTTTTTGTCTTCGAATGCCCTTCTGGGCAAATTTGACTGCATCGATGAAATCACAATCCCAGAGTGCCTGACTTGCAGGAGATAGAGCCGTCAGGTGTCCTTCGATATAGGTCAGAAACAAATCCAGAGACTGCAGCGCTGCCAGTGCCTCGTACGGATCGTCGGATTCACCAATCGCAGGGAAGATGCTGTCTCGTAGGCGCTCGGCCACCCGGCGACCATACTGTTGGCTCTCGTGGTACCGCTTGACAATGGGCTTGAATTGGTCCAAGACCTCACAGGTGATGCGTCTCATCACCTGGAGACCGCCTTGGACCTCCATATCATGAACCAAACGAGGGATCATGTCCACGTATATGTCGCGCAGCATCTCCAGTGCCTGATCAGTCGCTCCCAGCCACAGCTCTAGCCGTCGGATGAGCTTCTTGTCCTTGCCAGTGTCTCCTGCACTCTTTTCCACGTCGGGCTTCTTCTGCTCGACACTCCGAACGGCCATCGATTGCCGTTCTTGTTCCTTTTGGACGCACTTTTCAATGCGGACGGCGCCGGACTTGAACATCGGCTGTTTGGAAACTGGGTCCCATTGCTCTGCATTCGTTAGCATGCGGTTTTCAGTCACATTGTCTTCACGACATTGTACCTACCAATGGTAAGCTCATTGGCTGCCCGTGCTCTCCCGTCTGTAGCGTCCCAATACCCAAAGTGAAATGGAATGAAAACATGTCCTTCGTTGATCCCCCCGATTCTTACTGGGAGCTCAACACTCCCTCGTCGTGATCGCACGATCACCATCTCCCCTTCAGTCAGATGGAGGGCTTTGGCGTCTTCCATCGAAATCTGTACAATCGGCTCCTGATCGGCTTGCTGCAAGCGCCTCGCTCTCCCGGTTTTGGTGCGCGTATGAAAGTGGAAGACGTTTCTCCCGGTGGACAACAAGAGAGGGTAGTCCCCATCTGGGGTCTCCAGGGATGTTTTGTAATGTGCCGACTTGAGAATGGCCCGCCCAGCAGGATTCATCGCCTGGTATTGGGCCTTGGTGTACGGGGTACCGGTCTCCAGATCATGACCATAACTCTCACAGTAATCCGTGTCTGTGAAGAACTTTCCGTCGTCGAATAAGCGTTCTTTGCCATATGGATGGTCTTTTGTACATGGCCACTGGATGCCCGATCCACCAGTCAATTTCTCGTATGTTAGTTCGCTGCAGTCGAGGGGTCGACCGAACGACATCTTCCTCCACTCGCAAAACACCTCTTTGGGCGACGTGAAGGGAATCAATGGCTCCCCATACTTGTTCTTGAACTCCATACGCTTCGCATAGTCAAGCCAGATGTCAAGGTCCGCTCGAGCCTCCCCTGGGGGCTCAACAGCCTTCATGGATAAATGCATGGTTCGGTCGACGTTGGTGAAACATCCCGTCTTCTCGCCCCATTGCGCGGCAGGGAGAACGACATCCGCAATGGCCGCCGTCTCGGTCATGAAGATATCTTGCACCACCAGGAACAGCTCTGGTTTGGTGAGAAGATCTCGGACGCGCCAGAGATGGGGTAGGCTGACGAGGGGGTTAGTGCCAGACACCCAGAACATCTGGATGGTGCCATCCTCGATATAGTTGAGCATATTTTGAATGTGGGTGGGCTGGTTCCAGTGCGGCGTGTGCACGAGGTCAATCTTCCAGACGTCGGCTATCTCCTTCATATGTTGCTCGTTCTGGAAATTACGGAATCCCGGATACTCGCCGTCACATCCTGTCTCGCGATTGTTTTGAGCCGTCGGTTGACCGTTCATTTGGAGAATACCACTGCCCGGCTTGCCAATGTGTCCCAGCAAGAGGTTGATGTTGTTGATCTGGCAGGCGGCCGCGGTGGCCTGGTTTGATTGATAGACTCCCTGTAACGCAGTGGACAGTAAACTTCCACTGGTGCCGATGATCCCGGCGGCTTCTTTCAGCATACTGGCAGGGACGCCGGTGATTTGCTCCACATATTCTGGCGTATATTTGGCCACTGTCTTTTCCAGCTCCTGTCGCCCGACGGTATGTTTTTCCACCCACTCCTCATTCACCCAGCCGTTCTTGAAGAGCAAATGCTGCAATCCATTGAGCAGCGCAACGTTGGTCCCGCCTTTTGGCGCCAGGTGAACTGTCGCATGTCTGGCCGTCTCCGATTCTCGAGGATCCACGACCACCAGCTTTGGGGGATCGGGTCCGGCCAGGCGGTCCAAAACACGAGACCACAGCACTGTCTGAGTGTTCGCCATGTTGTGTCCGACCATGAAGATGCAATTTGTGAAGTCAATGTCTGTATACGAGCCCGGCTGGCCGTCGCTGCCAAAGGACTCGCGCATACTGGCGGCCGCCGTTGCCGTGCAGAGGCGAGTGTTGCCGTCCCTTCGGTGGTCAGCTTATTTTCTTGCGCACAACCGAGCGCTTGAGATGGTCAAAGCGACCTACATGTGCAGTGTATTCAGACCGGCCTTTCCGATCATAGCAAGGACGTAGTATTCCTCCAGGAACAGCTGTCCGGTGGTGTAGAAGCCAATGCCATGGTTAGTCAGACGTTTTTGAACGTCTTTCGTTTTCTGCACAATCAGGGACATGGCCTCGTCCCAGGATGCAGGTTCCAGCTTTCCATTCCTACGGATCAGGGGATGTTGCAGACGGTCCGGGTGGTTCATTGATTCCCAGCTGGGGACGTTAGCCGGTGGTCTGTCAGGCTCTGTTGCTCGCTTACCCATGAAGACCTTTGGGCCCCAGTCTTCCCCTGTTGACACGGTCAGTGATACGCCCGCGCACACCGACGACTTTGCCATTTTTGACTCCAATGTCCAAACCACAGCCATTACTAGAAAGATTTGAATAAGAGGTATCCTGACCACCGTAGGAAGGGTGCTTACCTGCATAGCACACAAGCACTCTGTACCCATTTCTCCGGCTCCTCCAGCGTTCGTACATCGCGTCGCGTCGGCCACTCGTGCTTGTAGGGCGTGCGCTGTCCATAGACATTCGCAATTGAGTCTCGTGTCTCGTATACTTTGGTCGTCATTTTGTTGTAGCCTCGGCCGATCTATAACGGGGCAAAGTGCTTTACATGGGCCAATAACCCACGTGACTGATAGTCAAGACTCGAATGTGGGTTTCTCTTTTTCTGAATTCAAATCAATCCTCCCTTGTACATTAATTATCCAAAGTCTTTTGGAGTCTGTAGATGAAGCCAGACGCAGGGACCTCTGCTTGACCCCGCTGACGTAGCGATTCGGCATTTCGGCCCATCGCGGAGTACCATGGAGATATATCTTTACCTAATAGCAAACTAGAGTTTGGCCCAAAGCTTGTTGTCCGGCAGTTGTGCACTCAGAAGGAATTGATATTGGTTCGGCAAACGAGGGGTGACAAGACAGAGTTTAAGGGTCTGTAGTTGGGAACTTGGGATGACTCCAAAGTGACGGCATCCATCAACACCTGCACTCGGCTTCTCCGCGGCATCCACGAAATGCCTCAAAACAGGTCTCGTGGTGTCAACATTCCTGTTTACGAACAGTTCGTGGTGTCCAACAGAACAGGAATAGTACTAGACGCATGCAGGTTGGCAATTCTCGTCAAGGTCTATGGGAGAGTTGAGCAGACTCGTGATCTGCAAACATCACCGCGCAATCTTACAAAAGACATGACCCCATCATAAGATATTGATATTACATTAGGGGTTGAAACTACCGATTAAGCTGTGTCATCGCCATGATGGCTATCCTTTATTCTGAGGCATTGCAGCTGATTCAGGCGGAGGCTCAGCAACATCGCGACGCCTTTGTCGCTGATGGGGAACCTGTTCCTATCAGCCAGGCACGGAATCGTATTGCTCGCGAGACCGTTACAAGTCCCATATCGACCCCAAACTTCGATACCTCTGCTATGGACGGGTATGCGCTGAGCTCCTCTGCGACACAGGATGCGACCATCGACCACCCGGTGACATTTGAAGTTAAAGGCATGATCGCCGCAGGAGATGAGCCTTTGCTGATTGCCGCTGATGAACAATCGGGCCCCCCTGTCTGCGTGGAGATCATGACAGGAGCTCCCTTCCCGACCAGCGTGAGCGGCGCTGAATTGGACTGCTGTGTGCGAAACGAGGATGTGACAGTTACCGTGGACGAAGCGTTCAGCCGCCGCTATATTCGAGTCTTCAAGCCAGCGAACGCGCGGCAAAATCGAAGGTTAGCAGGGAGCGACTTTAAGAAAAGCGACGTCCTTGTTGACGTGGGAGAAGTGGTCCATCCAGGCCACATCCTGTCAATGGCATCGGTTGGAATCACCGAGATTGCAGTCATGCGCAAGCCTCGGGTAGCTGTCGTCTCTACTGGCTCGGAGCTGTTGCCTTCTTCACTTGATCACTCGCCCTTATATCGGATCAGCGACGCGAACGGACCCTATCTAACTGCGACCTTGGAGAGTTGGGGTGCTTCAGTGGACTTTTTGGGAATCGTCCACGATGATGCTGAGACTCTGGAACAGTCTCTGGCTTCGATTCTGAGGAAGAAGGAATACGATATGATCATCACCTCTGGGGCTGTTTCGGCCGGACGATGCGACTTGATTCCTGGGGTGATTCGTCGATTGAATGCTCGAGTCGTGTTTCACAAGGTCGCCATGAGACCAGGCCATCCTGTACTTTTCGCCCAGATTCCTGATTCTTCGAGCAATGATGGACATCTCTGGCCCGAAACGGCGTTCTTTGGGTTGCCCGGGAACCCCGTAGCCAGTGCTGCCTGTCTGCGCTTCTTGGTCCTTCCATACTTGAAATACCTACAGCACCAGCGACCAGACGATCCATCGCATGCATATCTTCTCCCTCCTGACGACAGGGAAACCTCAACCACCAAAGAGCATCCAGTAGTATCTACATTCCGCGGGGACATGGACGTCTTCCGGCCGGCATTGGTCCGTGGCTCGTCAGGCCATGTACAGGTCAAGCTCATACAGGATCACAGTCCAGGAAAGATCAAGCCTTTTCTGCATTCAAATTGTTGGATCCATATCGACCGGGGCGTTTCCGAATTGAAAGCAGGTGACATTGTCGACATTTACCCAAGCCATTGAGTTGCATCTGCGGACCAACTTCTCCCTCCTCTATGAACTCGCCTGGGGTTTGGCTTCCATATTCGACGCCAGCTCCAAATCGGCTGGCGTATTGACATTGAAGATCCACTTCTCCTCGCGTGGTCGTATCGTCTTGCCACGCAAACGCTTCACCACCGCACTGGGTCCGAGAATTCCATTTTGAATGTTCTCTTTGAGTGCGCGCAGGGCCTCCGGAGACCAGATACTCAGTAAAGGCTCCCAGAAACCATCTCTATTCTCAAAACAGATGACTGGTTCAGTCCAGTCGCGTCGAAGTTGAGACAGTGCGGCGACAGATATGAATGGATAGTCGCAGGCAACTACCAGCCAGTGAGCACTTTCGTCCTGGTAATGACCAGCCAGTAATCCGGCTGCCGGGCCAATTCCGGTGCTGTCATGTTCAATGGGTACTCCCGGACCGTCGTAGACTACGTGTACCGGGAAAGTGATAGCCCCGTGTTTGAGAATCATTTGATGGTTTGTGACGGCGGTGATATGGGGATCGTTCTCAATGGCTTTTAATGAGTGGGGATGGCGCAATGAGAGAAACACCTCATCTGACTCGGGACATGCCTCGTGTAGGATGAGCAGCAGATGTACGAACAGGGGGATATCACCGACGACACGTAAAAGTTCTTTGCGAGCGCCCATTCGCGATGAGTGGCCACCCGCCAGCAAGAGTGGTTTAAGAGTAGGCATCGAGGATCCTAAGGTAGGAGGTAGGATTCTCCTGAATACAAATCCAGGGAAGCGTGAATTGCCGGTTACCTCTGCGTTTAAAGCCAAAACCATGTGGGGAACAACCCTGCAGTCAAAATGACGACATACATCGGGCTTGAATGTGATCTTAGTCCTTAATTCATGCAGGTCATGTCATTCAGATATATACATTAAGTCCATGTCTCCAGAATAGATATTTCACCATGCTTCCCCCTAGTTCAAGTGCGACCGGTATTCCCTTGATCGCGCTGTTCCAACATGTCGCTGTCGAAGCGAGGATCCAGCTTGTTTAGGATCTTGCTCGAGTGAGGCTTGGAGGTTTCAGGGGCGGTTGCTTTGGCTCCGGGGCCCCCAAAAGCAGGGGCTTGAGAGGTATCTTTGGCTTGGCTTTGATCCGAGACTTCGGACGAGTCGACGACGTTGGATGCCTGCGTAGGATCCCGCTGGAAGGAAGGCGGCTGCGACATGTTGGTAGTTGTATGGCGATGTGACGCGAGATGAGAGTTCGAGGATAAGAAGCAAGTTTAATCGGCACAACTGATTAATGGCTTTGATTCCGTTCATCCTTTACATTGCAATGTCAATTTATACATCGACACTGCCGAGCCTGCCGTCGGTTACATCATGTTGATGTTGCCAGCTCCATCTTCTACTATATGATGCAACCGCTGAATTTCTCCGCGGAATCTCCGACATAATGTCACAACATCATTTCCAGCATGAAATTTCCAGCCGTCAATATGCTGCTATGCACCCATGTTCTGGTAATAATAACAACCGATGTGAGTGGGCAATCTAGATGCCTTGAATCCTGCAGGCTCGTCTAAAGCAGGGAGAGCAAACCCCTAGTCTTTGGATAAGAAAGCTGACTGGGCTTCTGGGACATTTCATGGAGTTATATTATTGAGGTAGGTAAGTCAAGTGCAGGGCTATATGGCAAGATATAGTAGTGCCTCATTCCTATCGTAGACCTCAATATGCTGAACAGCTATGGATGCCTTTTCTCGCTACGCACACCACTCTGGGCATAGACAACGCCACTCCTTGAGCCGCCTCTCGACAGCAATCTGCAATCAATTGATTTATATTCCTCGCTTCCTCCAGCATCCCCTTCCGCTGCAAGGACCGAGCAAACTCCTCCATTGTCATCAGATGTTGGTCCCCATTCGCCATAGCCAGCTCCCTGCGATCCCGGAAATGATCCAGGCGGGCATCTGTAAAGCCATTGTGTTGAAGGATACCGGGTAAGCTCAGCACCCAATCATGTCTTCCATTTGAGCGGACAAAACGAAGCAGCCGGTCAAACGCTGGGGCGTCTGTGTCTGCATTCGCCTTGACGATGTGTGTATCGGGGTAATTGAGATCATCCCACTGGATGTACCCGCCGGGCTTCAGCATGCGGTACGCATTCTGGATAATGGGGACGGGATCGCTGTGTTCTACCACCAGGATGAGGAGACGGAGGTGGACGATGTCGTATTTTCCGACGAGATGTTCCGGAACAGGACTGAGGATGTCCCAGTTGTACAGGGTGACGTTGTCTGGCAGCCATTGAGCCGGTGGGCCGTAGGAGAGATCGATGTCGAAGCCGTGGAGGATCGCTGGGGCTGGTAATTCACAGCCGAGATCCAGGAGCCAGATGCCTGTGCCGCAGGCGAGGTCCGCAATTCTCAGGGGCGACAAGGGTTGGGTATGTGGCATGGGGATAGATGGATGTAGGTTGAAGGTCAACGAGTTCTTCCAGAGGTAGAACTGGAGGTTCAGACGACATGTGGCAGCATAGCCCTTGTCGAGCATGTAGCCATTGCCGTCGGCCAGATGGAAGCCAGAGGAGATGGTCTCCATAGTGAGACAGATGAGAGAGGCAAGAGTGTGACAAGCTTTGAGGACGGCTTGGCCATTCTACTATAAATGCAAAAAGTTGAACGGGGGCAGAAAAAGGGCCTCCACACTGGATCCTTCGTCGTATTCCTGCTGCATTATAAATCCAGCGAACGAGACACTGATTCAACGTGTCCATTCTTCACTACTGCCATGTCGTCTATTCAGGTTGGCCTTGCCGTGGGCAACGGCACTGGTCCCGAGCTGACAGCCGTCTTTGAACGTGTTATTCAATCGCTGGCTGCCCCCTACAATGTCACCGTCGCTTTCCTGCGTTCCTCACGCATCTACCATTCGTACTCCTCGCTACTAGCTGTCAATGACACCGACGCTGTGACGGAAGAAACCCTGGTAGACGCCGCCCATTACCGGCAATTCTGCAAAGAAGCCGTATCCTGCGGCGTGCGCGCTATATTCCGCACTTCGATCAGTGCGCAAGCCCTCTACCTCGTCCGCGAACAGCTCCAAGCGATCAAAGTCGAACACTTCGTTTTGAGTCCCACCTCGTCCATCCTCCTCGTTCGCGACCAGGCACAGGGATTCTACTCGGGCACCAACAGCGTCAACACCACCAAGGATGCCGTCTCCCGCACCGCGCACTTCAGCAAGGCGGTCTTCACGCGCATCCTCTCGTACGCACTCGGTCGCACCAATCAGCTGTGGGGAAAAACCAACTCGGTCACGATGGTCTACAAATTCCACCTCTTCGACGGGCTTTTCCACACCTGGGCAACAGAGTGGGAACGGACCTTTGGCGTCACGATCTGGTTTGTGCAGGGGGACACCATGAACCGCGACCTCCTCGCCTTCGGAGTGAGCGGCCACAATCTGCTCATTTCGGGCAACGAGTACGCCGATATCATGCAGACCATCCTGCTCGATAGGTTTGGCTTCGGGGCGCAGGAGTCCGCCTGTGCAGAGAACGTGTATCTTCACCCGGATGTGCAGGGCCTGAGCGAGTACCAGACTGCCCATGGATCAGCGGATGATCTGGTAGGTCAGGGCATTGTCAATCCGACGGCTACGATCCGCGCCGCGGCCGCGCTGTTGGAGGATCAGGCAGGCTGTTTGGGGGCCAAACAGCGGGCCAATCGCGCGTTGAAGGATTTGGGGGCCAAGGGCATTGGGACGCCCGATCAGGGAGGCACAGCTACGACGGAGAGGTTTGTGGAAGCTTTCCTGCAGGGATTAGAGGGGCCACTCGACACGCTCCACTACGACATCTCCCGGTTTCGGGGGAAGCGAACTGCCGTGGTGGTCGTGGACTTCCAAAACGATTTCGTCACGCGGTACCAGAACCAATCGGCCATGGCACGGGTCGCGGGGAACATCCCGCGGGTGGTGGAATGGGCCCGACAGGCTCGTATTGAGGTGATTTTCGTTCGGTTTCTGGGTGACGAGCAATTTCAGGGCCCTGGCTGGCGCTACCGCAATCAGACGCAGGGGCGCCGGCCGTGGTGCGTCCAGGGGACATGGGGTGCCGATCTCTTCGGTAGTGTTACGGTCCAAGGCGACGAACGCGTGTTCGACAAGAAAGCCAAGTTTGATCCGTTCCTGACCGAAGAGTTTGCGCGGTATATCGCTGCTCGGGGATTTGAGCAGCTGGTGGTGCTGGGTTTGTACACGGATGTCTGTGTTGATGCCACAGTGCGAGCAGCGTTTCAGCGGGGACTGTGGACCACACTGGTGAGAGAGTGTACGGCAGCGTTGCATTTTTCGGAGGAGCAGATGCTGGCTTACATGCAGCAGGTATATGGCAGCGAGGTGGTCAAGATGGACGATTTGCTGGCGGCCGCAAAGGAGAATGGGCCCGTTTCTAGCAGTGGATAGGGAGTAGATAGGCTCGTTTCATTATTATTGGCTATCCAACAACCGCTGCATAGCTTAGCTATGTCCGTAATTGGAGCAGATAAAGACCCGAGGTTACATTTATTGCAATTGATCCCTGTCGAGACTCATGTGGCCGATGAGCCGGATGTTAATGGCCGAAGCTAAATAGATGACGGTGAGACATGTCCGCATCTCGTAAGAATTTTATAACCCTCAACACACGAAGCATGGACAAGTCCAACAATGTCTCCGATTGACAGCTCAGTCTGGTTCCAACCTCATATCGGCCCGCGTCTTAGGCCGTCCGTTCGATATGTCTACAACCACTGGAGCGGCATACCCGACGAGGATCTCCCCTCCCATTTACACGACATTGTATGTGAATCGATTCATCCCAAGCCCTGCATTATAGTAACCTTTTTAGCGCGAAAAAGCCTGGCCCCTAGGTCAATACCCCTGCATCGGCCTCTGGATCTTCGTCCTCCCTGGTTTGGCCGCCCTTCCGCAATTCCCCGTGATCCTGGCTCAAGCGCGGCAGCCCCAATCTAGGATACTGGATTTGGGATGTGATCTGGGACAGGAGCTGCGCTTGCTGGCGGCCCATGGCGTTCCAACCGACCTGATGTGGGCGGTGGATATCGAGCCAGGTCTATGGCAGTTGGGATTCGAATTATTCCGTGATAGGGACCGGATGAAGGCGAGGTTCATTCAGGGAGATTTTCTGAGCATGGCGGACGAAAGCTTCAATGACCTTAAAGGCAACGTGGATGTGGTGATAGCCTCGCAGTTTCTTCATCTGTTTAGCTGGGAGGGCCAGATCGTCGCGACGAAGCGCATCGTCGCACTGTCTAAGCCGGGGACGATGCTAGTGGGATATCAACAGGGCAGGAAGACGGCCCGGGAGTATATGCGACCCTGGGGCATGTTGTTCTACCATAATCTGGAGTCATTTGTCGAACTGTGGGATGTGGTACAACAGGATACAAACACACAGTGGAGGCTCGAAGTGGCCGAAGTAGATCTCAAGGCATGGGGCATGGAGGATGAGGACGTGCAATGGATGCCGGCAGATCGCCAAGGGATCAACTTTGTCATTACTCGCATCTCATGATCTTTCACTACTCAGTTCTTCATACCCTCAAACACCCCGAGAAACCCCTGCAGCAGTGCCACGCACTCGTCGATCCGATTCAGAAACGGCGCACAGTGACTGCAGATCATGTCCTCGACCATCCAGTCTTTCTGGGTAGCGGCAATCATGGCACGCTGAGCGCCCTCGGGAATAGCCTTGTCCAGAGTAGGAACAATAAATGCCAGTCGTCCGGCATACGCCTGGTCTGCCCACGCGGGAGCAGGCTGCGGGGAGTTGAACGCCAACGTGGAATGAGGCCGGATGTAACCCGCGAGATTTTGGGCTACGTCCTGATCAACATCGGCGGCAAAGTTGCCGGCAGGGTCGTCGGCGGTGTTCACTTTGTCGTACGGCTACAGAACGTCACTCATCTGTTCAGATTCACTCAAGTCTAGTCGTAGGGAAGAGTGGTAGTACTTTGTCCAACAAAATCCACGGGGGCAGAGTCCCTCCCTGCAATCCCCAACAACTTAATCCTTCTGGAACCAGGAACGCCGCGATGAACACCATTCCTACGATGCCACCAGACTTGCCTTGTTGCATTCGTTCTGTTTTGGCAAGTCCCTTGGCGGCCGCGGCTCCAGGCATTCCTGCATAGGAGTGCATGACCAGAAGGACATCGCGGCCCTCTGCTTCCACGAGCGGACGAATGACGCTGGTGACGGCATCAGAATCAGCTTTGCAGTCTGCGCTCGTAGGATCCGCGGGGTCCAGAGATGGATATCCAGCATAGCGGACCGGATACCCGGCTGTGGTGAGAGCTTCGAGGAAAGGTTGGTAAAAGGCTGGAGTGATCCATGCACCGGGGACGAAGACGATAGTGGCCATTGTATTACGGTGTAGTCAATCAATTGTGTTTGGTAGACACAGTCTCGTGACGTCCGAGGTGAACCAGGCTCTTAATATATAAATATGATCTTGGAAGATAGCGGAAAACGCACGAACCCCCCCCTCATTTCCTCGTTCAGGGATTCTGATCCTTCCCATGTTTAGCTCGAGATCAACCTGGTCTGCCCCTCCTCCTGGTTCGGCGACCGACCCTTCCCACGCGAAGATAAATTAATTGGCATACTGGCCCCTGGGAGATAGGTCAACCGTCAGACTGTTTTGCTACAAGGTCTGACCTTGACCTGTCTTCTTGTGGGCCTGTCCACCTTGAGTATACCAGGTGGTGCTCCTCTCTCAGTATGGACTTCACTCCCCCGCCTGGCTTGGATCTTTCGGAATCCAAACGTTCTGAGCTATATGCGGCATATTCATCCACGTATGGACTGGCCGTGTTGGCAGTGCTGCTGCGGTTGCTGTGCCGGACCCGAGTGTCCAAGGTGGGACTGTGGTGGGATGATTACTTGATTTGCATAGCCTTGGTGAGTATCATAGCATGGTGCTCTCGGGACGATATTCTGAACGTGTCGATACAGGCCATGGTAACCGGAGAATACGTCGACATGATCGTCTGGGTGTATCGAGGAGTGGGAACACACATCTACCCTCTTGGGATGACCGGCTTCTCGAACTTCTTCATTAACCTCTTCGTCTGCGAGATCTTCTATACGCTGTCCATCTGTTTGACCAAATATTCCATCTTGATGTTCAACTGGCGCATCTTCGGCACCACCAACATCCGTATCCCAATATACGTCATATTCTTTCTGGTCACCGGCTGGGGGTTGGGAGTCGTACGTTGCATCACATCCTGAGCTTGGCTTTCTCTAACAGACCGATGCAGCTCTTCACCACAATCTTCCAGTGTCTCCCCGTCCGTGGCTTCTGGGATAAATCCTTAGATCCACACTGCGGTGTGAACGTCACCCAATTCTTCATCGGCAACGCAGTCCCCAACATCATCACTGACTGGGCATTGCTGCTCCTCCCCATGCCATACATCTGGCGACTCCACAGGAACACCACGCAGAAAATCGCCATCAGCAGTGTCTTCGTGCTCGGAGGGTTGTAGGTCTCACTCCTCGCCTGGGTTCACTCCCCCAGCTGACCATGCAGTATCTGCATCATTTCCATCGTTAGATTAGTGATCATGCTCGACTCATATAGAGTCCCCTCGATCGATGTCACTTGGGTATTTGTCGGTCCCTCGACCTGGACGGCGGTGGAGACTAACATTGGAATTGTGTCTGGTGAGTCGACACCATCCGTTCGGAAGAACGCGCAGCTAATCATCAAGAGTGTCTGCCGTCGCTTCGTCCTCTGCTTCGTCTCATCGAGCGGGATCACGGGACGCAGGATAATGTTACTGCACCTAAGAAAAGTGCTCTGTCATATGGGGTGTTGAGTTCGACCGGGAAGCGCAGTAAACGTAGTAAGGTGCAGAATGACTCTGAGGTGCATTTGTCGACAATTGGTGTTACGACGACGGTGGACATTGAGGAATCGTATCGGTATTAGTTTGGTAGAGATGTCTATACCTTGAATGTTATTGATCAATATGTATTATGGCTTTGTGCCCGATGGCCCTCTGCGTTCGTCTTTGCGGATTCCTATCCCAGACCATCGAGATGAGACCCATATAGCTGATGAGATCGATGCAATAGATGACGAGAAAGAGGCGTCTTCCACCATTACTGGCCGGCTACACGACTGAATACCTATATACACTTGACCTATTTATCATTACCATCTCAGCTACCCTGTCAGGAGTAGCCCATTTGATTATAATATCATTCCCAGTTAGTATCGCAACTGAGACAGTGTTTGTAGCACTTGGTTTTTAGGTTCTGACACTGGATTCATAATTATTGTAACGTCAAAAGCGCTTGAGGATCAGTTGGCAACCTGGGCAACCTCCGCGGGCGGATACTTGTCGCCATACTCGGACACGATCCATTGGCAAAACTCCTCCCACTGCTGGTTCCAGTATTGAATGCGCTGGGCTTTGATACCGTCGCCACGTGCGGCTAGATCAATATCCCGAAGCCAGTCGGCATCGGACTGGTCCTCAAAGTTCGACCAGCGAAGACTGTTCTGCGCCAGGGCTCCCTACGGTTCGTTAGCTTTAGCTTTGATGCGAACGGGTTCCAACAGGGGGACCTACCAGTCCAGCGAGTCCGATGTTATCGAATCCTTGGATGGTTTGATAGAAATCAAAGCTCAAACCTGCAATGTCTTGCCCCAGAATGGCTGGGTCGTCGTTGCTGATGGCCGTGGGAACACCATGAGCGATCATCGCAGGGAGAGGATGGTGGAGGATATCCGTCGCCAGACGCAGCACTTCGTTGGAGATGGGGCACACTTCGACCATGACTGCCTTTTCAATCACCTCCTCGATGAGAGTTGGGTGCTTGTACAGGGAGAACCCGTGGCCGATGCGGCGGGAATTGAAGAGGATGGCGTCCACCAAGTTGTAGTCGGTCGAGTTGCCGTCTCCGAGTGTCTCGCCGGCGTGGAAGAAGAAGGGGATCGTGAGATTCAGATACTCTGTCTGCTCCCGGAACCAGATCAGTTCGGGGGCCAGGTCTGACAGCGGACGACCCAGATCTTCCTGGGCGACCAGATCGTAGCCACTGAACAGCTCCGGAAACCTTTGCTTGCGCTCAAGGGCAACCTTCATGCCTGAGACAGTTCAGCCACCTTCTCAGCATGCCCGGAAAGCAGACTTACTCTTGGTGATTTTCTCGCGGTTCTTGCTGCGAGTGTCGGACCAGATGACGCGGGCCCCCCAGAAATTCTTCCCCTTGTCGGTAGCCTGGAACTTTTCAATCTCCTCAATCATCACATCCCACCAGACGTCGAGGTTGGGATCAATGTCCTCCTGGCCGGTGTGGACCAATTTACCGCTGGAGCCGCCGCTGCGGATTTCCACCCAGTTGATGCCATCGTCGGCTAGGCCTTCAAACAGCTTCTGGTAGAATGTCCTCACGATAGGCTCATAGTTGACCATGGTATCTGCTGGGCCAAAGCACGCTTGGAATCGTCTCCAGATCTCGTCGACACCCAGCTCATGACGAATCGACTCCTCCGGGAGGATGGTGAGCTTGGACTTCATGAAATCCATAAAGCCTTGCCGGCCACCGGGAAACCGGTCGGCAGCGGTTTGGACCGAGATCTGGGTGTTGGGGACGTAATTGGCCGAGGAGATCGTTTCAGCCGAGGTGTTTATGGTCGTGTTGACATGCGCGAAAGCGACCGTGGCATTTTCCGCGCTCTGCTCATCCAGAATCGGTTGCGACGTGGAAATGACCATGCCTTCGGTCGCAAGAATGGTTTCGAGAATCGTTCCATATGGCAGCATGGCCGACAAGTGCGCATGCAACAGCGCACCCTTGGGCATGCGCTTGACAATCTTCCACAGCTTCGTGGAATTGATGTATGGCCGCGCCAGAGGGAACATCTCCCCGGCGAAACGCTCGTCCTCTGGATGCTCGAACATGCCATACTGCCGCCAATAGTCATCAATCTCCTCCTGCCGGATCGCCTGGACGATGACATCTGCCTGTCGAGCGACCGTCGACAGGTTCTGCCGAAACTCGTGATCTACAGCCCGGTCAGTATCCGTCGTCACTAGCGAGGCATGGCCGCGGCATACCTTGTCGCTGCCTCTTTTCTATGGTGATCATGGCCGATCGAGCCATGAGATGGCGCCGCACGGCACTGCCATTCGGATCCGGGACGTCATCAGGAATGACTTTGGCCGCGGTGAGCGACAGACACAGCGCATAGGCCACGAGACTCGGCAGTTTCATGGTGATCACGGGCCCTTGGCACTTGGCAGGATGGAGACGAAGAATTCTGACAGCTCTAACACGTCCAGCTAAAGCTATATATGAACATTTGGGCCGGGTGTCTCCGAGTTGACATTGCAGAGGCACAGAAAGCGTATTATTGCCGCATGTTTTGACCAGCTCTGCAGGGATTATCCCCTCAGCTGGCCCGATTTACATTCTCCGGCTCATGTAAGTGGTGGATTGCAGTGAGCACTATCGGACACTATTGGGTGGGCCCTTCTGTCCCTTGCTTGTGGCCCTGATTGCTGTTCCTGTTAGGTCATGGCTCATGCGGTGTGACTGCTCTCATCGAGTCAGGACGCACCTGCCCTGCGTATAGGGACTGTTCCCGGGGTGACGCCGTATCGGTTAACCCATTTGTGACCTTGGCATGTCTCCCCCCTTCTTGGCAATTGGCGATCAGCCTCAGCATTTCCGTTCTGGGCAGCCAGAGTTCGCCTAATTTTGAGTGATCTTCCAGCAGATGCAGAACTACCGAAAGTGGGCGTGAGATGATTATGCTAGTGTAGACAGGTAGACTACTAGCTGTACAGAGTACGATGGTAATCATGTCAACCGAGACGATGCGCCGATATTTTTTCGACATTCCAAGGTGCTCTCTTCTTTGCTTCTCCGTCAGGAGTCAGGACATGCCTACTTCAAGCTTCCGCCTCGAATCGTTCCCAGTGGAATTCACGGCCCGTTCCGCAACTTCTGGCCCAGGTCAGCGGCGCCGAAGACTTGAAATGTATAACTCATGCAGCTGCTGTTGGTCCTGCACTAGAACGAGGGCTGTGCGCTGTCATCTGGACAACGTGTCAACTCGTTCAAGATCAGGGGTGATACCTGTAGAGTCTGACTTGCTTCGGTCATAGACTTTGAACTGCAGTGTTTTATTGTGAATAATGCTCGGTTGCATGTATTTAGGGTTATGGCCATGGAATCAAGCGAAATATATATTTCTATCTGGACGGCCAACTTTTCCACGAAGCAAGCTTTCCTTGGTACCTAAATCTCAAGATTATTGCTCTATATACTTCGTATACTCTGACACGATTCCTAAAATTTTGTATTATATCGATTTAAACCAAGTGGACCTCGCTTATCATTATGGAGCCACGCAGAGCCCGAAACTACATTCATTATCCATAGCTATTGGTATTTACTATTGAGTGCATCGAAATCGAATATCCGTGCCAATTATCCTGTTTAAGGTCCAAAAAACATGCTTGCCAACAAAGCGTGCAGACATCGACGGATTCAGTAAAGGGCTGAATGCAAGGTGGCATGTCCATCCAGTCCATCAGCTGTCATCTTGGCCATGTCTATAGCTCGTAAACCAGTAGCCAGGAATGGGAAGAAAGTTTATTAACTTAATTATTGGGTTGGATGGATAGATCGTTCTCTGATTTATGACAACACACCTCTTAGTGTGAGGGACATTTCACAGCTTTTTCTATATAAGAGATATAACATATAAGACAACACTGAATTCTTATGATTATGCCTGCATTACTCCCTCAAGGACCCCCCTTTCCTCATCCGCCCACCATTTCCACAAAACTTCCTCACCCCTGCGCGCCTTTTGCGCCGCCCAATTGCGGTACATGCTGTCAATTTTCCGCACGCTGACCTCGTTGCTAACACACCACCGCTTGAGGTCAGCCTCCCACTCTTCATAAGTCATGCTCGGCTTGTTGTAGCGTGTACGGATGTTGCTCAGGGTATGCGTTCGCAGCGCCTTGGCCGCACTAGCAAACCGCGTATTGTCTTTTGGCGTGGACCTCGACGGAATGAGCGGTTTGAGGGACAGATACATGATTGTTTTGGACTCCTGCGCAGCAGCCATCAGAGGCAAGGCGGCCGTGGTGCAAAAGGGTTGGGGACCGAGGGCGAGGTAGGAGAGAGTCGTTGATGAAGTCACCAGGGAGCAAAGGGCGCTGATTGTGCATTCCGCAGATAGGTAATTGAATCTTTTTTGTCAGTTCCATATTTTAATCGATTGGGCAAAGACATACCTCGCGTTCAAATCCTGTGTGGAATAGGCCTGACCGATATCGAGAGTCTCCAATGCAGGATGACCTTGCAGGGATAAAATCAGCGCAGCCGCTCCCTCATCAGTTAGGCCAACTGATTGCATGGAAAGACGTTGCAGTGACTTATTCTGTTGCAGGCCATTGGCAAGCTCTTTTGCTCCTGCATCGCCGATCGGATTGCTGGACATATACAAAGAGGTAATAGGGCAATGCGGCGATGCCAGGTACGTGGCAATTGCCTCGCAGGCGGCAGTTGATATCCCGGTCGCGGACAGGTACAGGACTCTCATTGGCAACGGGGTTGGAGGAACGTAGGCTGCCAGTCCAGTGAACAGAGCAGCGACGCCTGCATCGCCAAGCTCTGTCTGATCCAGATCCAGTATCCGGAGGTTGGGAGTCTGTGTGATGAGACGGAAGAGGGAATCGGCCGACCCTGGACCGAGCGGATTCCTCTTCAGCCATAGATTCGTAACGGCAGGCGACTTGACCAGTGCATCTGTCAAGCGTGCAAACGATGGTCCGTCTATGCAATTCCCGGCTAGGTACCAGGTATCAATGCGGTCGGGGAATTCCTGCACGAAATCTGCGATTGCCTGTGCCCCGGTTGGGCCGATGATGTTATTTCCTAGTAGAAAATGCCGCACAAACGTGTTGGAGCGCAAACTGTGCATCAGCGTCGAGATATTTGGCGGACCAAGAGCCATCTTGCACAGATCCATCCGACCGTCTTCGTACAGCACTCCCTTATCAAACTCCAACGTCGGAACGTTGTAGTAAGGCTCGACTGCCGGCTGACTCTGCCCTGTAGCATCAGAAGCGGTCTCGTAGCTGCCGCCATGCTTTAAATGATTGAGGAAAGGCGTAAGAGAGTCCGCGTCGCTGATCTCGACGGGCATCGGCAGGCTGGATGCTCCTTTGAGCATGTCTGGGGTGACTGTCTGATCCCAGGGGCCTTGAGCTAGAATTCGATCCGACCAGCGCGGTCGAACGTCCGGCGGTGATGCATTCTCGTCTTCGGCGGCCGGAGAATCGCTGACTCGAAGCCGGTCGAGGGAGATGGGCTGCGCTGTTAGAACTGTTGCCGACGCCATCTTGTGTACTTTGCAGGTAGTTTCTCTCGGTCGGAAGTTAGGTTCTTATGTATTTTCAGGAATTAAGAGTATGACTCACGATGTGAACCAGCTCATAGGCTGATGCCAAGGGCAGATAGCCTTGGGGGTGGTGCGGCTGCGGCGCATTAAGGGCAATTATCCCACAGGGCAATACTATATAAAGGAGGGCCCGGGAGGTCTGTTGATGATATACTGTCAAGCACTTCAATGCTCCAGCATGAATTAACCTTTGCAATATCGACACAAGCAAATGTAGCATCTTCTGGAGCCACCCGTTTTTGGCAGGCTGGCATTGTCTTGGTAGATTCCCGTCAACATATCCAACTCAACTATTTTTATATAACAGTTATGTCAAGTCTTGTGTCTCGGTTGACCATTGTCAAATCAGGTCAGTCATATACTGCCAAGCATTTCAAATACTCTTAACAGATGCTAAATGTCCCGCGTACGGCTTACGCAGAATTTGATATCCACATTGCTGTGATTACCAGGCTGCTTTGGGCAAAGATCCGTCACGTCAAACGCCCCGGCTGCTTGGCCTCAACTTTGATTTTCTCAAACAAGTGATTATTTTCTTATTCAGTTGTTGCCAGGAATCTTGGCTAGATTCGTGTGTGCAAGGCAGAGACACCATTCTAGGATTCCAAGTCAATATGGAGACTGTAGAGATTCCTTTGATGTCAAGAGACAAATCTGATGGGGAAATCCAGGATGCAAGTCGGTCACAGCGAAAATTCAGCAGACGGGCGCTCCAAGCATGGAGATTCACTGTTGCTAGCGGTGCTTTAGCAGGTACATTGGTTCTGCTGGTTAATCTGATCACCCTTGCAGTAATGTACGGCAGATTCAGTGTGGTCGACTACACCATTACATTCTTTACTGGAAGTTGTCAAACAACACATATCGTCACCATTGTCTCACATATTCTAATCAACGTGCTGAGTACCATCCTGCTCGCCTCCAGCAACTTCAGCATGCAATGTCTGGGTTCGCCTACCAGGAGAGAAGTCGATTCAGCCCACTCTAAGCATCGTTGGTTAAGTATTGGCACTCCAACCGTTCGCAACCTTTTCTTCATTTCCAAGTCCAAGACCTTATTATGGCTGGTTCTGGGCGCTAGCTCATTTCCTTTGCATGTGTTTTGGAACTCGACTGTCTTTGAAACAAAGTCTACAAACGACTACCTCGCCGTCACCGTCACAGAGGACTTTTTGCAAGGTTCACAATGGACCATCCCATCGAAGTCTCACAACGTCAATGAGGCATACGCAGATGCTGATGCTAAAGCTGCCCATTACCACAATATAATTCAAAGCCTCCAGCAAGAAGCCATTGCCAGCAAGTCGGGCAACTCTTCAAGTGGACTCGAGTTTCTCGACGTGGAAGAGTGTCTCCGCGCTTATGACCAGGACAAGGTATCAGACCGCCAACATGTCCTTCTAGTCGTCGACAATGATGCCGTGGCTCCCCCAAATTCCTCAGTTCTAGCAATCTACTACAATGTTTTCTTCACAACCGGCGCGCCTCTCTTTCTCTGGATATGCAATTCCTCAACAAGTGATATTGATGTGATGAATGGGCGCGAATGGTCTTGCGCATCCGATCTTCTCAAGGATGGTGTCAACAACTGGATCCCTGGCGGAGCTGGCACAAATGGCGCAGTCCTTGGTTCTCAGAGAGATGTGCCGGTTCGCTACTGCTACTCTCAGCGAACACCTGAACAATGCAAAGCCAACATTGTCCCTCTCTTCTTGATCGTCGTGATCATCTGCAACGCTATCAAAATCGCCTCTTTTCTATACACCTTACAAATCACAAAGAAGGACCAACCTCTGTGCACAACTGGCGATGCGATTCAATCCTTTCTCAAACATCCAGACCCATACACACAAGGCCGTTGTCTTATCGCCAAATATGATTATGAGAAGCTCGGGTCAGAAGAATGGACGACTCGTGCGCTCAATGTCGGGGATCTCTGGGCAGGAGGACGATGGCGATGGGGCAAAGCTGTCAATTGGTGGCAATGGACGGTTTACATGCTCTGCGTATGCAGTGTCATTATCTTTGCCGGATTCTACCTACCACCCTTTAATATGCCGAATTTTATTACCGTATCGCAGTCCGCCATTGCGACACTCGGCCTCGGCTAACCTCATTCAACCTTGGCCGCTACCAAAGCAGGAGTCTCAAATCTGCTCACTGGCTTCGTGTGTGCCAATTCCCCGCAACTGATCGTTTCATACATCTACCTAGCACTCAACAACATGATGACTACCATGCTTGCTATGGCAGAATGGTGTAGCTACACTGTTGGGCCTACGAGCCAACCCAAGGCTCTCCGTGTCTCTTCTCCAGTGCCGGATACCGAGCAAAAGTCAACCTATACGCTCTCTGTTCCTCTGAAATGGGGCATACCAACGGCCATCTGCATAACGGTTCTACACTGGCTGATATCTGAAATGGTATTCCTTGCTCGTATCGATGTGTACGACGTCAATTCTGATGGATCCGGCACGCCCACTTCCGTTACCGATATCTTTTACTCGCCACTGGCTATGATTATCGCTGTATCCCTCGGTTCTGCAATGGTCGCGATCCTTATTGTGATCGGAATTTTCAAGAAATACCCGGAGTCCATGTCGCTGTCAGGATGTTGTAGCGCCAGTATAGCTGCTGCTTGCCAACCTTGTCGGGTTCATGGAAATGGAATAGGGAATCAAGAGTTTCCCGAAGACCTGGTGTACAAGAAAATCCAATGGGGCGTTGTGGAAAGCCCTGAGGAGAATATGCCATTGGGCATTGGGCATGCAACTTTCGCTGCTCAAGATGTGAGTCCTTTGGTAGAAGGGAAATTATATGCTTGATTTCGAGTTAGCGGTCCCGCCCTTTACTATGAAATGATTTGCGGAGTAGGATAACATTCGATACTCTTGCTGTTGTCCGGAACCATGTCAAACCAGAAATATTTTGCAGCTATCGCTGGTAGCTTATACATCGATGACCAAGGAAAATGTCACTAGATCAACTCAGGGATGATGTGATTTCAGTCATAGGCGAAGATGCATGTATTGAATGGATCTGACTCGAGAAACACGGAAAGGTTATGGACAAGCTACTAACAAGAGTCTCTACTAATTATAAACTAAACTCAAGGCGGTTTCCTGCGTAATCTCTGGCGAAGAAGCGTGTCGGGTATTTGACCCCCTTTTCCCCTACAATCTTATTATCAGTACAGTTTCGTGTCCCATCCACACAGGGTCTATCCTCACCTGAACATTCACCCGGTAAATCCGCCTGTAGAGGAGCAGCCGGGCCGCCTCGAAAGTGGTGATCATATATTCGTTGCTGCAGCTTTTGCAGGTCGTCCAATGAGCCTACACGAAGGCAGGGATGGCGAGGAGAATCCGGTTCATTCTGTCCGAGTGCAATGTGGATCTGCTGCTTTCCGTCTGGTGTAATATTGAACCTGACAATTAGCAACATTCCGCCCAGAGAGGAGTCCATATAATTACCAGGCAGTTGTGTCTTTCTGTAACTGGGGGACTGGAGTAGCAGTCAGCCCCAATGTATCCACATAGAATGTGTATGCGTCATTTAATGTCCCTGGAGGAACCAGGAGATTGATATGAGAGATTCCAGTGATCATCCCGAGGTATATCTATCAGTTCTTGGTTTATGATTCTGGTTGTGGGCACTCAAGTGGTTTATATAACTCCAATCAATAACTTTATCGGAACCCGAATCCCGTTGTCGGCAATCATCATCATCCTCATTATTTGTCATCACTGGTCATTAACTATAGTCATCAACTTCATTATCATCAATTCACGCTGTAATCCCCTGTGTAAAAGACAATGTGATATTTGCAGCCTGCACTGAAACCTCCCATGTCTTTCGTAAAGTTCTGATCCCCGTGATGCTAATTTTCCACCAGCCCGTAAAGAGTCTCCGATCGAGCTCATCTTCATCCAGAATCTCTGCCTCCAGCTGTCCGACTCCCTTCTTGCCATGTGCGACTAGCCAACGACTACCAACGCAGTTCTGTATATCGACTGGGAAGAAATGCCACCACTCAATCTTGCCGCAGTCGGGGTGACTGTTCCCGCGGTCGTGGCCATCTTTACTCCCGCAGTGACAGGAATACGCTCGCACACAGGGGACAGCCATCAAGTACCCCTGCTTGTCACCGGGGGCAAGATCGACAAACGTAATGCAGGAGTCATACAGCTCAGAATTATCCAGAGCCACCCCCTGTTGCCAGACGGCGCTGCGGATCAAAGGATCGCCAGTGACAGCATGAACAATGATGCTGTCCAGCCGTGTCTCAGCTGGAAACGGTGGAAGCTTTGGGCTCAATGTCCAGTCCACTAGGACAAAAAATTGGCAAAGATGCTCAAAGGACATGCAGTCGAACAGGTACGCATGGAACCCCCTTGGATGAGTTGATGCTTGATGACTTGCCAGCTCATTGAGAAGCAACAAGACCTGCTGCCGGTCTTCCGGTGGCGCCTCATTCCACCGGCGGCAGGACATGATTCCTTGCTGGATGGCTGTTCCTCCTGCGGCAAAGTAGTAGACGATGGTCCGCATAACAAGCCATAGAACCTGGAATCCGATCCAAAAGTACAGCGCTTCGGTCGGCTCACCGTCCAGCCGAATAAAAGTGCCCAGCAAACCTGCCAGGTTGACACAGATGCCGACCCCGAGTACGATTCGCCATAACATATGTCGCCGTATATTGGCAGGAATCCCCAAGACAATCTTTCCTTGCTCGCCCATACGAAGCGGAGACGGTAGGATACCCGCCACCAGGTGCCTTGTGCGCTTAAAAGGACTGTCGCGGCCCAGACCGGTCACCTGCAGCAGGACAGCAGCGACAGAGGCATGAGCCCAGCCCGCCATGGTCCACGCCCACACTCCTTGACTACCCACTTTCCGAAGTGTAAAGACCTCTATCAGCTTGACTAGCGAGAGCAAAAGCCAGAACCAATCCCTCCAGGGCGATGGAAGACTGCCTTGGTCGGGAATAAAACGGTAGATATCAATAGGCGATCCCTTCTCCGCCGCCGGGACCGTGTCCAGCGCCAGCTGAGCATTTTTATCCAGTGTGTAAATCACATGTGCTCTGTAGACGTTGTCGTGCGACTCCGACGCCTTGATCTGGGTGATTGCGTCCATTTGCGCCGCCTCGTGCGCTGTCATCATGCCAACCCAGCGCTTCCACTGTTGTAGGGAGACGAGAGGCGCAAGATCCGGCCAGCCATCTGCACTTCCCGTCCATGTCAAGGCCCATCGACCGATCCAGCGCCGACACGGGACGATCTCGATAGCACCCGCGTCGCCGAAATCGATACGGCTGCGCGCTCGTCGGAACCGGTTCACTGGGAGGAGGACTCCGAGCGCATTATCGACGAACTGATTGCGGAGGCCCATCGATTCGCGTAAGGAGTCTGGCACCGTGGCGGACAAGCACGCTTTAATCACATGAATCTGACCGAAACAGCTCATAGGAGCCCAGACAATGCCGCATGCCGCCTTGAGGCCGTGAATCAGCGCTTCCGCTATGGGGGCGCCTATAATAGTCGACACGGCCGAAATTTCCACTAGGTTGCCTCCTATCGGAGACATATCTGTTGTTGCAAGAGTTTGCACGAGAGAATTGAAGATTTCGGATATGGCGCTAAATAGCGAGAGGATCGGCCACAGAAGCCAGTCGATCACATGGTTGACGACGGCTGGAAGAGAGCCTTGTAGAGGAAGGGAAGCATTCATTTCGTCTTAGGCTTACTCACAACAAAAGAAAGGGGATACTTCAGCCAAGCGAGAGGCTGAGGAGCCTTCAGAATGAGATGAAGAGGTCCTCACCTCAGCTGGTGAGGGGCTGACGAGGTTCTGTGTGACCTAATCAGCCACAGCGGCCCAAGACTGGTGTTCTGTGATATTGGCATGTTTGGAGCCAATGAGCAGCTTTTCGCGGGCCGGGTATAGTTGCCAGAAGTTGTCAAGTAACTAGGCGAATTGTGTCTGAGACCTGACAACGCTATAGATAGAAGCAGATATGATTGGCCTGTTCGCGTTTTCTGCGGCATAGAGCGGCGTGATCTGTGCCTGCCTCTCTGTATGACAGCCGGTCCTCCATCGAACTGACCAAACTCAAGAAAGCCTCCACGAGGACCTAAGTGTCATGCAGGATATCCTGACTACACTTGTGACAATCTTACAGTTTGTTCTCTGGCTGACGCACTGGAAGATGCCCCGAGGTACGACACTGTAGCGATACTTGAGAGCCAAGGTGAGAAGCACCACTGTGGCTCATTCACTCCTGCTCAATAAGTTGGTGGGTGTTTTGACTTGGTTTGACTTCTCGTCAATCAACCTGTATACGTTCTTCGAGCTCGAGGCATTGATGACGGTGGGAACGCACTGCTAAACAATCCTTGAGGTTGTCACGACGTATCACATGAGCATCAAGAGAAATGGCCAAGGCCCCCTGGTGCTGGCCGAATATTCCAACGGCATTATGCTGCCTTGGAAGTTGGAAAAACTATCGAGCGCAACGGGGCCAGATCGCGGTTTTGGTCTCGACTTACACGTCAGGGCTCGCTTCCGAAGGAGTGTCTGCTTCATCTGTGTCACTTTGTCGGCTTAATTGACAGAATTTGCGCTTGGATCCCTCAGAAGAGATGAAAATATCCAATGTTCTGAGCGGTGATCGGTGAGATGGTCTCTCAGATCAAGAGCGATTTCGACCACGCTCTCTCTATACTGTGTAGCGGTTGACTATGACGTGGCATGTCTGTACTGTCCATTATCTTCTCTATTGACTCTTGAAATGCAAGATCCCGAGTCCTTTCTGGAGTTCTGCGTATGCTTTTCCCGAGCCCCTGTGGGTCTGATCTGGGCTTTAGCCATGTGTGACAATCGTTTTCAATCATAGCCATATCAATTGATATTTATCCTTTTTCCGCCTCTTGGTGCTGGTGGAATTGGTAGTAAATTCTGCTTTATGTTAGAGAGTAGGGTCCAATAGACCCAAGCTCGACTCGTGCCGATGTCCCTGGACTCAGACTTTCAGCGAAGGCCCATGGCATATAATTTAGACGGAACTTGCCGACGCCAGAGAGTCACGAGGGTTGTGTATGGAGATATCCGTCTATCTGCTAACTAGACCCGGATTGTGAATAAAATCCAACTTGGAAAGTGAATACAAGCCATGGACTACCGACTATATAAGATGGATGCTCCTTCTAACTCAGAAACTCTCTTCTCTCAAATTCCCTCTCTTTGACTACCCTCATCTCAACTGGTGTCCCCGAAAAGACGACAATATCTGCATATCTGTTGCCGTTTGAAAAGCTCCACCCTCGAATACACTACAATGGCCTCCTTCTTCCGTGAGGTGGGCCGAATTAATGGCCGATTGCACGTTGCTGCTATGCCAATTTCCAATGTTGCTGCCAGACACGATCCGGTGCATTCATTCTATCAGTATGATAGGTAGGTTATGAGTCCCTTTCTGTCTGCCATGTTGTGGACTAAGAAAAGGTAGTGAACAGGATGGCGATAATGTCGTTCAGTGGCTGTTCGGCCACGACGATGAGGAAGAAGCTGTTGATCATGAAGAAGAAGACGATATAATCTACATGACAAACTGCCCATCGTGCAGACGGAGTGCGTTACTACATACTGCCCTCATATATTGTACATTGTTAATGCCAATCGACAGGACTGGAAGCTGGTCGGAACGACCTGTGCCTAGGTTGCACGATTGTGGTTGCTGGGGGAATGGTCCTCTTTATGTTCTCGTTCTTTTTGCCCATTTTGCTCTTGCTCATATTCCTCTGAGGATGTCTCTCACTACTCGAAACCCATCTGGCTTCTACACTTGCTCCGTACAGTCGAACCAGATATCATCGCCTTAATGAAGATCACATTCGAGATTGGACCAACGACCCCACGGAATATGAGAGATACCTTCAATATTATGATCCCGACGCCAGTTGTGAACCTTGTCGCGGCCTGGCCTGAGGTCGTCGAACTGCATAGTGAGAGACGAGGAGTCTGATACGTCTTACAATAAATCGAGCTTAGGAAAGATGCTGCCAATGTTGAAGAGATGTATTTGATTGTCCAACGATTCCCAGAGATGATGTTGAAAGATGGCATGTAAATAACGCCTTGACGTCTCAATCAACGTTATTGACCCTTGAGGTGAGATGCGCAGTGATAGGTAGATCCAACATGCTTGCGCTTCCGCTCATACACTCGCCAATCAAACTTTCCCCATAACTTAGCTGACTCGGATCTGGTTCTGGTTCTGCACCATATTTCAACAGCATCTCCACCACCTCTGTTTTCTGTCTCACCCTCGCCCAATAGAGCGCTGAATGACCATCATCATCTCTTGCGTTAACATCCGCTCCACGCTGGAGAAGCATCTCACAGACCTTTGGGCTCCCAAGTCTTGTTGTGTAAATTAGAGGTGTTTCTGCCTCAGAGTTTCGGCACTCAACATCCTCTCCTAATTCCAGCAGCAAGCTAACAATGTCTACATAGTCACCGAGCGTGGCCCAGAAGATGAGTGGCTGACTAGGTCCATAGAAGGGGTATTTGCCCCTCACGTCCGCCCCTGCATCCAGAAAAGCCCTCACCACCTGAATATAGCCACGTTGCGTGGCGTCCGCAACGGCCTTCGCCTATGGTTTACAGCTCCCGTTTAACCACAGTAATAACCTCACAGCAGCTGCATGGCCCTCCTCAGCAGCTAGGTCAAGTACTCTTAATGCCCAGCCATGTTGCTTTACCATAGCATCGACACCAGCTGCGAGCAGAATTTCCATCACCCTTGTATGGCCTGCGCTAGCTGCCGCCATCAGCGGCGTGAGTCCCCCATAATGGCCTGCCATATTAACTTCAGCACCATATTGCAGGGTCCTTTTCAGGGTGTCCATGCAGCCATGGATGGCAGCCCACTGCAGCACATGACTGCCATGCTGTTGCACACTTTGTTGATAAAGATAAGAGATAAAGATGTTATGGAGTTAGTGGTTAACATGGCATAAGGAATTGACATTTCCTAGGTGATATGCTATCAAGGCAAGCAGTTCATTAGGTATCTCAAGTAAGCCCATGGTTAATGCAATATCAGTACAAGCAGGAAATTTACAAAAACATGGGATAGTGGTTTGAGATAAAGCACCAAATTATAAACACAGTCCAGTCAAATTGTTGGCAATTAGTCATCAGTGTTTAATTGGCTAACTATATCTTAGTTTTTGGCGGAGTACAGCCACAATCATCACTCTAGACAACAATCAATGGCTGACACCGTTATCTAGTCTTCGGTGGCCGGAAGGTTTTGTTTACAAATCCCCTTCTTGGCATGAGAGTTGAATTGGGCGGAATTCCGGGGCAGCCGCATATGATCCATTAATTACATCCTGATCCCCGGCATCCCGAATGGGGATCTGATATTCATATTTACCTATCAGAGGGTTCGCCATGAGCGCTGAAGAATTCCTCGCCGACGTCGAAGGCGGCGTGGTGCCAGTGGACTGCCACGAGAAAGTGCTGCGGATCGCATTCATCTATCTGCATGAGGGGCTGTGGGATGGCAACGGCGTGTTCGATGTGGTCGAGAAGCTGCACGCGCGCGGCTGGTCGTTTGGCGAGGGCGAGTTGCGGTTTAACCGGTAAGTTATGATTTCCAATAGCACTGTAACGACGAAGACTGATAATCACCACAGCACCCTGGATATCTTCTACCTCGCCCAGCTCGCCGCGGCCACCTACCGCTCCTCCGACCAAATGGATGGCGACTTTCCCTCCCCTGATGATTTCCAGTCCTTCTACACCACACACCACGCACTCCTGAACCCCTCCGCCTGGCGCTCTTATTACTCTGAGACGTTCCTAAAGCAGCGCACCACAGCGCGCTTCTACCGCCTGCCTGACCTCCAAGACCTACCTGACTCTGACTCCCCGCTGGGGCAGCCGCGCAAGCGACCCCACCTCGGTGGTGGGGTACATGCCACGAAACTCCCCCGCTGGGCGTATAGCGTGTCGCGCACGCGCCGCAGGCAGCCCTTGCTTCCACTTGAGACTTTCACGGAGTTAGCGCTTAGCACGCTGAAGACGACTATTACGCGCCTACGTGCGGTCTACCCTAGTGTTCCGCCCTACTCGGAGACGCAGGCGCTCTTCTGGCTTGAGTATATGGATCTCGGTTTCCCTGCGGCCAAGGCGGTTTCCCGGCAATGGTGGGAGCCAAACAGCTTTGGGATACCTGCCGCGCAGGGAGCGTATGATGTATATGCATGGGAAGAGAAGTATTCTGCGCAGGTGTGGGAGGCGAGCCGGGAAAGGAGGGGGGTGGTTGAGCCAGATGTGGAGGATGGCGTGTGGAAGAGTGAGGTGATGTGGTGTGGGTGGCCGGATGGCGGGATAGGGGCCGAGGCATGGTGGAGGGGGTGGGAGGGGGAGCTTGGGGGTGAGGAGGAGGTGGAGTTCTTGGCTGCTGTTGCGGTGGAGGAGACAGTAGGCGTAGAGCTGGGTGAGTTGGACTTTGCAGTGCGGTCGCATGTGTTGCAGGGGGTGATGCGGGCTGCGGCTGCGGCGGGGCGGGAGAGGGATGTTTTCCTGGAGGAGCTGGAGAGGGGGATGGTGGGCAAGGGGAGGATTGGGGAGGGGAGGGCAGGGAGGTGGCTGGGGGAGGCCTTGGGGGTCGTGGAGCCATATGTGAGGATATGGGAGGGGGTGTGGCCAGATACAGA